CACGGCTGCCGCAGCTGTGCCGCGCTCGGCGCCCCGCCTGGTTTGCCGGTCTGCTCCTCCTCCTGTTCCTCTGAGTAACTGATGGTTTGGCTTTGGTTTTGGTTTGTTGGGGATTTTTTCAGCTAAATTCAGCGCTCCGGAGTCTCCGTTTCGCTGCAAAACAGTAAAACAAGCACTCGAGTTAAGGGGATGTTGTAATTTCACTTTATTTACATTTTTAAATCCACATCGGCTGCCTGAACTAAGAAGGCAGCAACTGCAAGGAGAACTTGCGAGTACCTAACCTGTGTTCGTATCGGGCTACTTTTAATGTGGTTTTAAAACGGGGCTATTGCAATATTTCTTTCTAGGTGTTAAATTGCTGATACCTACTGAATCGGTGTTAAAATGTAATTTAATCAAGCAAGGGTTCCATTTAATTTGGTTTCAGTATAATATCACTTTCTAAAATATAAAAGGCAACGTTCAAGGTTTAAATTTATAGATCTGTGTTACTGAGTTGAATGTTATGTGTAAGTTTCCCTCCTCCTTATTTTTTTTTCCTTCTAAGCAGGATATAATTAGCCATCATAATATTCTAATTATGTCGATCACCCCACCAAGGTCAGTAATGCTACTTAGTAGTGTTTCTCATTACTGAAACTTTTCATTTCCTACTAATTATATGAGTCCTATAAGGAGTTGAGAGGGTTTTTTATTTTTACACTGCCTTTGACATTCCTGCAGTGTTTTCACAGAAGAGCTAGTTCAGACTAACACCATTCCTGCATCCTTTTTCCCATGTTAACCATCTTGTTGGGATAGGTGACCTCGAGCTAAGAATCTGCCAGTAATCTCTTTTCTTTCCGAGTGCTCCGTGCAGTCAAACCCTTCGTTGTTAAGTTAGCTGTATTCCTAGCTGCCAGTCTTTAAAATTTGGTAGCTTCCTTTTCTTATAGGACTATAGGCCTATAAGATCTCAAAAGTACACTTGGATTTTCTTGAGTTTTCATCAGTAAAAGCCTCTAAAATTGAATGGAGCCTTGCAGTCCTGCCCAGTCTTGCAGTCACATCTCTTAATTAGGTCAAAGAAAAGCAGTATATAATGCCCCAGGCTGAGTTTGCTGCCTGTGCTTTTTAAAATTGTTACATAGTGGTTCTGAATGCTTAAGAAAACTGAAAATATTTTCATCAAGTGAGCAGCCTTCAAAATGAGTAGCCCCATCTAATGCATCTCCAGTAGTTTCTGTTTTCTCCAGAGACAGCTGATAGCACCTTCTTTGAGTATCTGATAACCTGATACTTCTAACAGTGTTTAATTCCTTTTGTCCTTTCAGGCCCAAGTTTCCAGTGCGTTTCTTTGGTTTCCACTTTCTCCCGTTTGTTAATGAGAGATTCTCCTTCATGTAGTATCTGTAGCATTGATTTCCAGAACGAGTTTTAAAAAATGTTCTCAAGAAAGCAATGTTGAAACTTCATTTCAGATTGCCACCATCTTCATGTTTCAGATCCCTGCTCTCTGCTTTAGCAGCAGACTCAACACTTGTTCCTGTGACAAGAAAGAGCAATGCTATCTGAACTGCCTTCCCTTTTCCTCTCTTGTTAGTGTCACTGCTAAGCTTCACCCCTTCCCTAAGGAGAGGGTCTCAGTTCCACCCTGCCAGTAACTGGCTTTCACCAGACCCTCTGGTGATCTGAGCCAGCCAAAAGCAAACTACAGAATGCCTCCTTTAAACTTTTTCCCTTTTTTTTGCTAGTTCAGCTGAAGGAACTGGCCACCAAGATGATTAAGGGAGTGGAGCATCTCTGGGTCTCTTTAGCTTGGAGAAGAGGAGACTGAGGGGTGACCTCATTAATATTTACAACTATGTTAAGGGCGAATGTCATGAGGATGGAGCCAGGCTCTTCTCAGTGATGCCCCGTGGTAGGACAAGGGGCAGTGGGTGTGAGCTGGAACACAGGAGGTTCCGCTTAAACTTGAGAAGAAACTTCTTTACGGTGAGGGTAACAGAGCACTGGAACAGGCTGCCCAGGGAGGGTGTGGAGTCTCCTTCTCTGGAGACATTCAAAACCCACCTGGACGCCTTCCTGTGTGATCTCATTTAGGTTCCTGCTCCGGCAGGGGGATTGAACCAGATGATCTTTCGAGGTCCCTTCCAATCCCTGACATTCTGTGATTCTGTGGATCACCCAGTGTCAGCCCTAGCACAGGGAAGGGGATGCACTGACAGTAACTCCTGTTCAGGTTATTTTAGGCTAAACTGGATCTTTTCCATAGGAGAAATCCCACTACTATGCACTAAATAAAATGCATCGAAACTTCAAACCCAGACTGAATAAAAGTAGGTCTGTTGAAGTGTGTATCAGAAGACACAGATTTAAATTGTAGGATAGTGTTAGTGGTGTACAACGTTGTTATCCCCTAGCTCTCATGTAGCAGGTCATCTCCTAACCAGCTAAGTCAGCAGCTTTTACTTCCCTCCTTGTATCAGTGTTTATCGGAGCACAAAGTTGGTTCAATTTGCTAATCTGGCCAGTTAAAAAGAAAAAAGTGCTAATAGATTTCTGCTTGTTCAGTGAGTTTAACAGGCTTACTGGGGTGATCCCGTGAGCATCAGTAACAACAGAGGAAGCAGCAGCTGAGGAGACAGAGGGGAAGCAGGTCTTGTTCTTTCCTTGCGGCTTCTGGTGGTGAAGATTAGATGCTTCAGAACACATTCTTACTTTCAGTAATCTAAATATTTTTGTAATCTGGAAGAAATTAAAGCTCAGTTTCTTATTTCAAGTAAAATAGCCCTGTTCTGAAGGGAATTACCAAATTTCTAGAAATCTCAAATTTTTAAAATAATTAAGAAGCTTATTTCACCACCATTTCACTGGTATTATTTATTACTCATCTTTGTAGCATGAAATCTTAAGGAAGATCATAGTTCTTCTCACTCCTGCTTTTTACATTTGCAGTGAAAAGCTGCTGGCAGATACAGTGGTAAAAGCCTTCCAGATAGGAATATAAAAACTTTTATGACTGTAGTGGCAGATACACTTGTCCTTGTTTTTCTTTTGTCATGACTACACAGAAATTTAAATACACCACCAAGCCAATAAACCTCAGTATCAGCCAGTGTCTGCACACTTCAGATACCTGCCAGAAAGCAAACATCATCTGTAGTGTTTAGGAGTTTTAAGCTTGCTGCTCGACAGAAAGTGGTAGTAGTGCTTCCTGGCTCAATTTCAGCAGCTCAGCAGACTACAGAATCTTTCAGATGGTTTGTTACCTGTGCTTGTTGGTTGGTTTACATTGTACTATCATTTTGTTGCAGAGAGGGAGCCGTTAGGTTTCTTTTCAAGTGTTAACTATGAGTGCCTCGGTGCCAGCAGAAAATGGATCTACATATATTCTTAGCTTACAGAAAATCCCTAAATGAGTTTGGCAGCTAGTTTAGGAACAGAGCAGAATTTGTCTCACAGAACAAATGTAGATTAAGGCAGTTTATACAGCTGACTTAAAGTACTTAAATTGAACAGTGGACAGGACCTAAAACAGAGTGCTTCACTGAGAATGGCAGTTACAAAAGAAATGCCTGGAAATGGTATGTCAGTGAGGTTAGAAGGGCTGGGAAAGCAAGAACAAGAAATGAGTCACCTTTAAAGAATATGCCTAATGGTTGAACGGTGACATCTTTTGATTCCTCTCCTCCTCTTGTTTTGTTTTGTTAGGTTGTTGCTGACAGTGAAAGACTTCCTCTCAAAGCTGTTTAAATGAGAATGTCCCTGGCCCAAAGAGTACTACTGACATGGCTTTTTACGTTACTCTTCCTAATCATGCTGGTGCTGAAGCTGGATGAGAAAGCACCGTGGAACTGGTTCCTCATTTTTATTCCAGTCTGGATATTTGATACTATTCTTCTAGTTATGTTAATTGTAAAAATGGCTGGACGGTGCAAGTCCGGCTTCGACCCTCGCAATGGCTCCCAAAACATGAAGAAAAAAGCCTGGTACCTGATTGCAATGCTGCTGAAGTTAGCCTTCTGCCTCGCCCTCTGCGCTAAACTGCAGGGATTTACTGTGATGAAACTGGCCTATGTATTTATCCCTCTGTGGGCCTTGCTTATCGGGGGTATGGTTGAACTTGGGTATAATATCTTCTATGTACGAAGAGACTAAGCTATACGATGGGGTTTTCAGTGCTGAGATCAGTACCAAATTACTGGATTATTATAGCTTTGCCACAAACTTGATCTCCAAATTAGAATGCCAAATAAGAGATCAGCCAAGCTGAAGACTATATCTAAACCAGGCTGAAGACAAAAATGAGACTTGTTGCTTTTTTTTTAAATTATTTTAAAACTGTCACATATGCTCTTGTAAATAAAACTTTGTTGAATAGAAACTGTTCTAACATGATGATTATTGTTATTTGTTACATGGAATAAGATACAGGCTCTTCATATGCAGGTAGATCTCAAAGGAACCACAAATGTTCTACCCCAAAGCATTCATCAGATTTGGGTAATCCCTGGGAAGAGGACTTAAATTTTTCTGTCAATCAAGAAACAACAATTCATATAATGTGCTAAATCTGCTTTGAGAATCAGTAACAATTGATAGCCACCAAATAAGAGCACAAAAGGAATAAAGTGACTCAGCATTTTCTTCTTGACAGTGAGAATCCCACCCCACTTCCAGTATGAAAGACTAAAATAAGCACATTTTTTAAGATGTCAAACAGACCATAACCAGTATGCTTACCTATGGAGAAAGTTAGAAGCTGAACTGTGCCAGCAGTCCAGGATCCAGAGAAGAGAGAGAGACAACGGTGATTACCCATCCAAGTGAGAAATCACCAGTGCAGTAAAAGCCTGAAGCTGCAGAGTGAGTTCTGTGATGCCTTTGTACCTGTGGGGAGTGGTACTTTAAGAAGGAAGATGGTTTTTAATGCCCTTGTATATTAAATCTCTGGGGGTGAAGTCTTGGCTTTATAGAGTTACTGGCAAACTCAGATGTGAGTAAATGAACTTTTTCAAGTAACAAATGCACTGAATGGGACTTCTGGGAAGAGTTGGAACCATAAGCACATTCTGGGGACTGCAAGTGCTCTTCCAGGAGCTATGATAACACCAAATTCAAATATAAGAGTTGTCTAGGGCATTATTAAGGTGCATGCTGAAGGTACTGGTGCATTTACAGTTCCTAAGTACAAAAGAATGTCTAGGGAATGAAAAAAGCCCAGGAAAAACATTCTAAGATAACAGCAGGTGCCTAGATCAAAGTGTCTCACAAATAAAGTTTTAATTATGCACATTCAAATGTACTTGTCTGTTTAAAAACAACCTTCCTGCAGTGTTTGGATTTATTCTTGCTGTTCAGTAACACAGACATGGCCATAAATACACAGGAACCATATTGTCAGAGACTGCTGAAAGGGCTTATCTAAGAAAACCTGCTCTGTTCTAAGGCAACGGATCCCAATTCAGAACATCAAGTGACAAATGATCTTTAGAAACCATTTTAAGTCACATTTGTTTCAGAGTGGCTGACTGTCCTACCTTGCTAAAGGAGAAACCAAGGAATGACAAAAAGAGACAAAACATACTCATCTTTCTAATAATTAACTGTTGTTAAAAAATGCAAAATATTTATAACCCCTTTATTATAATAGAAGTTACACATCAACTTTTACTGAGCAAATCCAAGCATCACATAATTTATGGGGAGCTGACACTACCACCTGGAAATCTCTTCCCTTCAGTGCCTGTCAGAACAGTTCTATGTGCCTGTGCCCTTCTTAGTTCTGAAGAATACTTCATGGAAGGACTTTGTTCCATGTTTGAGAGACTTTTTGCCCACTTATACAAGGTGCCTCTGAAAAACTGACTTTCTTCACTGTCCTTGTGATTTTTTAAGTTAAGATGGTGCTTGTGATTAGGATGAGCTGAGGGAGGGGGGAGGGTGTTCATTTCAGTACAGCACTTGAGCCTGCTGGATACAGACATGAGCATGCACATACACGTGCTATTTGTAACTATGGGTACGTGCATTTATACATGGTATGGACAGTGTGCTTAATTTGTAGATCCAATTCAGCCCTCTTCAGCAGTTCCTCAGTTCCATCAAATGGAAACAAGTGTCACTGAGCTGCCCAGGATGCAATATTCCAGGTGTGTCCCATGGCAGGCAAGCTACACCTCATGTGGAATTTTTACTGGATGCTTTAAAAATTTATGGAGAAGAAGAAAGAATGTCTGAAGACCTACCTCCAATTAAGGTAAACTTTTATGAACCACTTAACAAACACTGATGCAAACACATAACCAGCATTTAAGCACTTCAGACAGGACATACATACACACACACTCATCTCTGGTATGTTACAGCACCAAGCATAAAACCAAGTACCCACAGTCTCCGCATCTGATTATTATCACAGAATAGAATTGTTCACACCATGCCAAAACCCCATCCTGCTCAGAAGAGCAGAGCAGCTTTCCTCAGTCAGACTGATGATGTTAACAGATCGTGGTAACTTTAAAAATCATGGGAGAACAAGAACCAGCCTCATTAGGAGGTGGTATATTATTAGTGAGATGGGCCACAAATGGTGACTCTACCACCTCACTAAACCCCTTCTATTCCACAGATGGTAACAATTATCTGAGAGTTTGGCATCTCTAATTAACTCAAATTGAACACAGTTGTTCCAAATCTGCTTTTAATTGCTGCCTCTAACTCAATGGGAAAAGATAAACAACTACAGTGTTCTGGTTGTGCATTTGGCTCCCCCCCCCCTTTGTTTTGGGGGTTTTTTGTTTGGTTTTGGTTTTTTAAAGGTTTACAAACCTTGAAATAAATGACAGTGATTTTGAAAGCTGAAGGAGACATTTCATTTCCTTTAGCACAACATGTTTTTAGGACACAACCACTTGTAAGTGCTCAATTTTGTTTGCAAGTTCTCAGTCCTTACAAATATCCCTTTTCTTTCTGTATTTTGTATCAGATTTAAGTGACCTAAACTGTGCTGACACCTTTGTCCACGCAGCCTTGCTCTTTTGTGGTATCAGAACTGCACTCATAAGGATTTACCATACGAAGTACACTGCAGCCCACTGTGACCTCTCCAGAAGCTGCTGCAGGAATTACCTCCATTTGCAATTGCTCTGTTCTCAATCTGAAACTGAATGAGTTCCCCTCACACTTCTTTAATCTACAGACTGATCAACTCATCTTCACTAAGTAGAAGAAAATGAGTGAAAAGCAGATGTGATGAAGTTGGCAGGGAAAAGAAGCAGTTGATGCTGAGGCAGCTCACACTGATTTGCAAGGAATGGGCGGGAGGAAGTGACGATCCCAGTACCCATCACACCAGAGAACACCTCCTCTGGGCTCCCTGCAGCAGCTGGTGCCAGGCGTGGAGCAGAGAACTTGGCCTTCACTGGCTTTGTTTTAAAATGCAACTCAAACGCTTGCTGTTCTGAAATGAAACTGGAAGTATTTGTCTCATACTGATGACATATTGTACATGGAGATACATATTCTACATCATTTATTTCTCTTCAAATCATTTATACAAGCTTGAATGCTTCAGCATGCACTGCAGGTCAGTATGTACTTTTTTCTGATTAAGGAAATTACTCAATGCACATGTGTGAAAGGTCATGAAACCAAAATTTTCAATTACCTATTCATACCTTTCTTGATTTCTCACCATTTTAGAATATTATCCAGTTTTCTGTTCTTTTTATACTTGAAAAATACAATTGTGTGACATATACATCCCCACCTTCAATAAACTTTAACCTGAATGCTCCAAGGACACGTGTACTTGCACCCAAAATGCACTGCCAGGCACGGGTGACAAAAAATAAGCTAGCACAGGACTAAGATACACAACAATTTAAGAGATGGAAGCAGTAATATTTTCTGACATATATGCACAGTTGAATAGATACAAAAACCTTGAAGTAACCTCATGGAAATTTTCACATTTGCCCAGTTTAAAAGTTGCATAACACAAAGGTATTAATGAAAGTGAAATTTATGAGACCCCCAGAAACTATGAATTCTAACAACATTAGATGTTACTTATTTCAACACCACTATTTTGGGAACAAATAACAGTTTTTCAGTAGTAAAGCTCCGGAATAACTGCATCCTCAGAAATAAGTTCTTTACATTTATTAGCACAGAAAGCATAGCACTATCATGTAACACATCACACTTCTTTTTTTTCCCATTAAGAATGAGGTAAAAATAACTATGCTAAGTTGGAAAAAGAATGTACCTTTTCATTGTACCTTTACTGTTTTGAAGTTATTGTTATTGTTTTATTGTTATTTAAAGTTTGGATGGAGTTAGGCTCCCATATGAGCCTTTCAGACCTGAAGAGGCTTGGGTATCAACTTGCTGCTGAACAGCACCAGGCTTTGTGGACTAAGGCAGTTAAAGGAATCACCGCAGTTGGACCACTAGAGTACTATTCAATATTGATTCAACATTTTCTCCTTGTACTTGTGCTGAAGTTGGATAAAGAATAAAAAAATCTGCAACTCAGTAATGCTGTTTCCTTCAGTCTGCCTTTTCTAACAAAACCAACATCACAAGCAGGCAAACGTAAGAAAAGCCTCATTCAGCGCAGAACAGCAGCATTCGGAGCAAGAAACAGAAGAAATGAGAACCCAAGCTTAGTCAGTCTGTGTTATTTTTTAGCTCAGTGTTCCTTTTGAAGTTTATAAAGTCATCACTGCTAAAAGATGTTCTTTAGTCTAAAAATTTAATTTCTCAGATTAAAAGGTGTCAACTGCATCAGTTAGATGGACAAGTACCTGAGTGTTATTTCATGCTTAGCACATAGCTCTAGTAGTCTTGACTTACGTTACATTTGTCTTCCACACACAGGTCGAATTCTCAAAGGTTTTCTTTTTCATGAGACACTTAGGGAATAGCTTTCTCAGGTAACTGCCCTATTTTGTCTCAATGTAACCAGATAAAAAAAAACCATAGTCCTTAAAACACAGGCCTAAGGTCTACCAAACACTGCACTTTCATTCAGGTGAACTGGAAATTAATTGGTAAAAGAAGACAAAATATCAAAACAGTTATTGAAAAATCAAACTTGATAAAAATAGAAGTTTAAACTGCTGTTTTAATCAATGTTTGTATCAGATTAT